AGAGAAAGAGAAAGAGAAAGAGAAAGAGAGAGAGAGAGAGAAGGAGAGAAAGAGAGAGAGAAAGAAAGAGAAAGAGAGAGAAAGAGAGAGAGAAAGAGAGAGAAAGAGAGAGGGAAAAACAATTTTAGGCAGTGATAACTCTCCCTCGCACCCCACTAAGACACAGGAACCCCAAAACATCTGGCCAAAACGTTCCTGTTTGCTGGTGACAAGTCTTGTTAGGAAGCAGCAACACCCTTCCCGTAGGGAGCACCTTACCTGCTTGCGCATGACGTCCGTGGCCTGCATGATGTAGCGCGGGGGCAGCCCGTGGCTCCGCGCCAGGATGATGGCCTGCTCCAGGGTCACGCTCAGAGTGCAGCTGCAATGCAAAACCCAGCTCAGGCATCGCCTTCTGCAAATCACTGCTCTGTCTACAATAAACGCCTTAAAAATACTGGAGGATACCAGGCAGTGTCTTAATTTAAAATTAACATTTGCTTATTGACTCTGATCAGCAGTCACAAAGGTGAAAAACTAGAATAACTGGGGAATTGAAACCAGGGAATATCTTACTGGGAGCATATATCTTCTCTAATACTTAGTTCCTGATTAATTTACATGACTTGGTATTTTTCTGGCAAAAGGCTCATGATAATGACCAAAAAAAAAAAAAAGTCACCCAACAACAATCCATGACCAGCAGAAACGTTTTACTACCTCATTTAGCAAGATCCCTTCATTTATTAGGTTTCTTAAGCATCTACAGGCAGCGTTGGTTGTTTGCTCCTTGTTACTGGCAATTTCCTTTTTGCTTTTCTACATCAAACTGGACTGTGTGGGACATCTTTAGTCCCACAGCACGGCTCAGTGACACATCTCTTCTTTCAACTCCCTTCGAACAACTAGTTGAGCTAGAAACTACCACCGTTCTCTTCCTATTCCCCACTCTCATGGGATGCCCATTTACATAGCACTAGATTTGCACACAGTTACTTGACCGCTCACCGCTTCCTGAAGTCACAAAATTGTAATCTCTTCGCCTATCTTTTTATTACATAGCAAAATATTGATGTCTTAAAAGAAAGCAACAGATATAAAAATAAATATAAAAGAACTGCTAGAAGAAGAAAGGAAGAAAATTGTATAATTACTGACAGTCAATTTTCCCCCAATCATATATCACTAGGTTGAGAACTCTGCGGCAGTGTGAGAAACATTTCACTCCAGTCGGAAATCCAAAGTTTTGACTTCTTGGTGATAGAAATTTCATGACAATCTTTTTTTATGGAAGTGTCAATCTGTAACGATGCAGCTTGCAATACCGTATTGCCATTCTCTATAACAGGCAATAAGCTTTGTGCAGAATTTGCAAGGCCTCAGGACTGATATTTGTCACACTTGCTCTGGTTGCACTTTTCTTGACCTGCCTGCAGCTCCATTCTACTCTAGCTGTGACAGCAATTTCTCTAGTCAACCAGGTGTCTAATTAGTTTTACTTTTTTATTCTTTTATCTTTGTGTGGTACAACTCTAGCTTTAGGTAGATAGCAGCAACAAGCAAGCACTCCATGCAGAAAGAGAGACACCAAATATACATTCAGTGTAACGTGGAGCTGCAGACTCCAGGGGAGCAAAGGGGTATTTGGAAACATAAAATGAGTCCAAGTGGAGCCAGAATGAAGAAGAAACACCATGATGTGGAGAGGCTCCAGATAGTGATAGCTCATTCATACCACTCCCCCAACCACAGTGAAATCACCGACGTTGCAACCCAGAAGAGCAGCGGCAGGATAAGAGACATAAGAGGAGAAGAGGTGTAAGAGACAAAAAGAGGGATAAAAACTAAGGGGTAATAGATTTTGCTGCCTTACTATCCAGGATAAGAGACATAAGAGGAGAAGAGTTGTAAGACACAAAAAGAGGGATAAAAACTAAGGGTGTGGGTAATAGATTTTGCTGCCTTACTATACGTTCTTTTTCTATAATAATTAGATCTAGACTAACAATAATTCATGGATCAGACTGTTAAGACTTCTATTATACTAAAAAAATATTGGTTTTAAAGAATGTGTGCTTCCTCTCTTCCCATAAGCAAGATCAGGAATACAACAAATATTGCTGCTAAATTACAACCAAATAACCAATTGTTTCAAATAAACAAATAAATGCAGCCACTGACTGGGGCTTACTTAGCAAGTGCAAAGAGTGACAACCAAATGGAACACTGGAGAATATGGGGAATATTTTATAATCGTGTAAGTCCCTTTCCAGGTGGTTACTGAACAAGCCTCCCCTCGCTCTCAGCAGCTAATGTAGTTTTGGGAACTAGGGAGCTCTGGGTCTTTTTTGCCTACTTTGTCTACTTCTTCAGGCAAACATTAAAGAACAAAATCTGACCCTGGTACTATATCCTCAAGTAAAGGCTGCAAGGTCTTCGTCAGAGCAGCTGGGAAAGTTTCAGAGATGCAGATCTTGCCCTAGCACAACTCGTCATCACGTCAGAAGGGAAGCACCACGGAAGGGCATCCTGGACGTGCCAGCTGCCTCCAGGTGCCCTATTGAGGACAAGGACGGTTCTTCACACATCAAGAGCAACGCAGTAGAAGGTTTTAGAAATAAAAGGCAACAAAACTGAGTAGAAACAGCTGAGTACTTTTTAAGAGGCACAGCATGTCTCAGGGCTGCTATTCTGCATCAGTAGGCTGCTTGATGATTTTTCTGTTCAGAGCCAGACACGGCATTGCAATAATCAAATCTCTTCAACCAGAAATATGAGGTGTGTATAAATTGATCCTACATCAGCGGAACTTGACAAAAGCTACATTTTTCACATCAGAATAATAAAATTAAGACCCATGGTTGAAACAGCCTTTTGAGTCACCTTTTGGCAAACACTGACCAAAAGATTCTGTGTAGCTTATACTGTGCACACAGAACAGACAATATGTTTCATTCAGACATTCATCTTGCTGAGCAGAAGATCTGTAGGAGGAGAAATGTGTCTGCACCTCACTTTTTTTCTTACTGAGAAAAAAAAAAGTTTGGCATGTTTAAATTCCTCTAAGTAAATTTATGGACTGTAAAAAGTTTCACAGTAGTAAGTGTGGAAGACACTGAATTCAATCTGTATCTTTATTAATAGCTCATTGTTAAAAATTTATAAGTTAAGTGATCTTCCTTGGCCATTAAATTGGTTTTATTCCCCAGCGTCTTGTATATACTGACCGCAGAGTTAACCTGGAACCAAAGTCTATTGATCTTTTGTGTTATAGGCTTGATTGAAGTGAAAAAACAGTTAAATATTAGACTAGAATTTCTAAACCCTGTGTTGTTATATGTGTTTGAAAGATTGAAGTATTGCAAAAATAAAAATGCTTTACCAGCACCAAAACCTAAATATCTAACCTTGAAGAAGAGACTGCAAAGGAAGCTTTGTCCCATTCACAGCGGGAAAAAAACGGAAGTACTAGAGAGGTGATTTGACAAATATAATATAAACTAGAGAAAAAGGGTAAAAGATCTTCCCATAGAAATGATGGAGGTTCTGGACGCAAAGTCCAGCTTCCATCCAAACAGTTACTGAAACAATTTCCCCAGAAACCCTATCTTTGTGGAACTCAAAGGAATGAAAGAATGGAGAAAAAAGAATCTGCATAGTGAATATAATCCAAATTAACAACCTCCTAGATGAAAGTCAGGTTAAAGAACTTGACACAAACAATAATCTTGTACAGTCAAAAAATGAATGGTTTGTAATGTCTGTGATAACCATCCATTTCATTTTAGATAGGGAGCAATTTTGCAGTCCTTCCCAATAACAAGATTATACATTTTTTACAGCACAAGATGTGATTTGGAAATAAAGTTAAGTGTGTAGTTAAAAACACAGGGAAGTGGGAAAACCGGGACAAAGCGAGAGCGTGATGAGGAGCAGCCATTTGCAGTGAACCAGCATGACGACGAGCACCTCAGCAGGCTTCTGCAGAGAAAGGCAGCAACCAGTGCACGAGCCTCAAACACGCAAACATGCTCAAACCAAACACCTCATCGCAAGGCAAAAAAGTAGGCAAGAAAAGAAGGCCAAAAATAATTTTGAGAGTTACATTTTTATCACATCATAGAGAAATGGCAGAGAAGATAATCAAAATGATGCCTATGACAATGTTAACTACTAGCCCACTTCATAAAATGCAACATTCGATATTCAAGGTTAAGTTCTATACCCACTATTTAATAACATTTTTATTTGTTGAAGTATTTTGAAAATGTTAAAATAGGATCATTGGTTGCATTTAAATAGAGTATTTCATTGGAGATACAATTTAATTCTGCTAGATTTTGTGCTTCCCTTCAAGCATGTAAATGATCTGATAAACAGCAGCCTCAAAACCAGAATTACAATATTGGTTGTTGTTTTTGTGACATAATTTTTAAATAAGGTTACTACTTTCTAACTAAAACAAACATCACTGAAATATTTTTATTTTCATTGAATATCTAGTTAGTGAGATTGCCTGCAGATATAAAACTAATTTTACAAACTCTCCATGGTATAAACAGACCCACTGATAAGCCTCTACTTCATGCTGGTTCATTCTTCTAAGTTTTTAAATACAGTGTCTGAGTAGTACATATTCTTTACCACAAATCAAACTGCCCTGAAAATCAGCTCTAAAAGAAACAAATGCACACATACAAGAACTAGAGATTAACATGGAAAACTCATAACTGGAAGCACCTTTGTAACAGGGCTGCCAAAACAGAAATTAAAGCAAATCTCAACCAATACAATTTCTAGAATTTTATAAAGATCGAAAAGTAGGGAATTCCTCCTATGAAAACCCTATCCTGGTGGTCTGGACACAGTTTAATTAGAAGGATTGAAGTAAGATGCAATAGTTGACCCTCTCCTTCTTTTTGAAAGCTAAGCAGCAAATGCTAGTAAAGGTTACAAAGCAATCTGCAATCTGTTCAGACCACTGAAAGTACCTGCTCATTTGGATGCAATCAGCACAGACAAATCAAACAAGGAAATCATTGGCGGGGGGAGAGAGGGAAACCTCCTTCAAACGATCTCACATACTATTCTCTTATGGGAAGGAAAAGTCCTAAACTGTGCATGGGAGCAAATCAAAATCTGTTCTCACTCCTTCTCATTTTCTCCCATCCCTTCTTTTATGTCAGAAAAACACAGCTCAGATTCATCATCTTAAATTTTATGTCAGTTAGAATCACAAATTCCCTGCCTTGACAGATTACAGCAGCAAACAGCACAGACATTTGGCTTTCCAGCCACAGCTGGGCTGAGAATTCCTCCTTCTCCCCATTTGGTTTCCAAGAAACAGAAGGGGCTGCAGCTGCCTCCAGCCCCTGCCTCCTG